TAGTTGTTGTTATATTTCTAATGCATTAGGCTGACCTTCCTCAAAACTTTCAATGGCTCTCTATTGCCTATAGAGTAAAACATAAAACTCCCCATGACATTTAAGTTCCTACACAATATAGCCCTAGTTTCTTTCCAGACTTCTTTCACGCCAGTCTACTGCACATAAGCCATTCAGGCCCACTTGAACACCAGCTGCTCCTCCAACTGTATACATATACCCTCCTATGCATACATTTTGCCTGTCTCCTATGATTGAAACAAACTCTTTCTATATCTCTACTTACTAATAGCCTTTTCTTTCTTCAAGGTCCAACTTGAGGGCCATCTCCCTCATGAAGCCTACTTTGATCTTCCAGCTAAAAGTAATCCTACCCTCCTCCTACTTCTATTGACATTTTCTCCGGGTCCCTCTTTTTCCCATACTACCTGACATCATACTTACTTGTGTTTAAGTCCTATCCCTCCTATTCTACTGCAAAGAGCAGCTGCACCTAGCACAGTGACATGGACGGAATAAGCATTTAAGAAATATTGGTTTATTTGAACCATGTTTGTAAGAGTTCTATCTGAGTACCTGAGGACCTCTTTTATGAGTAAAGAATTTGCCTTTTCTAGCTCTAGTTTGCCTCTCAAATTAATCACTTTTTTTTTTACTATTATCTCCTCATTGTTTTCCCTGCCTCAAGTCTTTCCCCTCTCTAAAAGGCAAAATGATTTTTGTAAAGGACACGAGTCTGACCACATCCCTCTCCTGCTTGATAAACTCTAGTAGCTCCATATTACTTCAAACATAAACATCAAACATAAACTCCCCCTTTGGGCATTTAAAACCCTTTAAAACTTGGCCCTAACCTCCTTTTCCAGCCTTGTTACAAATTATTGCCCTTTAGGTATATTACAATCCAGCTGACCTTACTGCTCTTCCTACCTGGCACTTAATTGTCTGTCTCTTTGTTTTTGTATTATCTGTCTCTCCATCCTCCCCACCATGCCTGGAGGAACTTCCTTCTTTATCTTCACCTCTTAAAATGCCCAGTTTTCTTCAGGGATCACAGTAAATAACACCTTCCACATACAGCCTTTTTGGATATAAAAGATACTAGTCTCCCTCCCCCAAATTACCTTCTATCTGTGTTTTAGATGCTTATGAATATACATGTGGTCTCTCCTGTCTAGATGGTAAGCTTCTTGAGGGCAGAGAATGTTGCATTTCGATCTTTGTATCCATAGTGTAAAGTATAATGCTTGGAACATAGTAAGTGCTTAGTAAATGCATGTGGATTGATGGACTTTCTGACTTCAATTTTGACTACTCAGAAGACATCTTGGTATATCGGAAAAAATGTTCAGAACAGCCAAGGTTACCAAATAAGCAACTTCTCCATAAGTGAGATGTATGTGTGTATTTACATAATTGTATATGTGTGTGTATACACAACTGTAATATATTTTATATTATAAACAACATGTATGCCTACATACATATTATATATGTGTGTATATGTGCACATATATACACACATATATATATATATGTGTGTGTGTGTATATATATATATATATATACACATATATATATATATATATATGTATATGTAAAAATAATAGAAAATACAAAGTGACAACCTACCATTAAACATACAGGTTGTAAGTACATGTTTAATAATATTGGTAGATATCACATAGCAGGGTTATATAGCAAAATGAGCCACAGTGTGATTGGGAATAAGAAGATTTTAGCACTGACTCTGACCACTCACTAGGTGTATGACTTTAGTCAAGTCACTTATCTTTTCATGCCTTAGTTTTCTCATATGTAAAAATGAAAAGGATGAATTTGATCTCTAGGTCCCTTTCTCTCTCCCCAGTTATATATGAGTATATACAGTGTATGTCTAAATACCTAGAGAACAGGAACCGGAGTTTGTTTTGTTTTCGTTTGTTTATTTTTTATGTAGGGTCTACTATGTTTTAGGCCAGGGATAGGGAACATGCAGTCTTGGTGGCCTTCTAGGTCCTTGGTTGTGGCCTTTTGACCGAGTCTAAGTTTTACAGAACATACCCTTTTATTAAAGGGATTTGCTCTGTGAAGTTTGGATTCAGTCAAAGGGCAGTACTTGAGGACCTATAATTTAGGCATTTGATAAATGGCAGAAAAGCAATCATGAGTAACAGTTAAAGGACTGGCAAAGTCTTATTTGAGAATTAATTGCAAAGTTCTATTAGTAACAAAATAACTTCCTAATGTCTTCCCACTTATTCCAAACCCTACCCTCCCTGGTTTAGGTACTTCATATACTGAAGGCATAGGACCATTTAATCCAGAAAATATTTTGCTTGTTTTGTAGCATATTGTCCATTGGTCAAATATTCTGTGCACACAAGCGCTCCTAATCATACAGTAAGAGACCCCCTTAGCACATCAGAGATGTGCAGGGCAGAAAACTTGTACCCATTTTAACTAACTTGGAATAGTTTTTGCTTTTGTTCACTGTCTTAGTATCGACATAATTTCTCTGATAAATTCTAAAGTCATTTTTCTTAGTTAATAGTTTCTTAGTCAATATCATCAGAAAAATAGCCCCAAAATTAAAGTGCCACCTTCCATGTTTTAAAAAAAATAAGTACTTTAAGCAAAAACAGCATTTTAATTCCTTTGAGATTCTCCCAGTCTTCTTGGGTGTGTGGAAAACACCCGTCTTTGAATCCTTAGTCGTTCTAGTATTGTTTCTGTTCTTTACCAAAGTGTTTTTTCTTTCTTTTTTCCCCCCCTTGCCCTGCTACTCAAGTGCCTTGGTATAGAACACAGAATTGTGTGTCCAGAGAAACCCTGTACTTATGCTGGCTTTGGAAGTATGCTCTACATCCAGTCACATAATTGAAAATAATAAGGCCACGATAAATGGGATGGCCCCAGGGTACAACACCCAAGGGATTCAATTGCTGTCACTTTTCATCAATGTCCATGCATCATGGTAATTGAGGTAACATAACCAATTACCACATTTTAATTAGAGTTCTAAGAACTTGGGAAAATTTGCAATGGTGAGACAGCTCACTTTAAGTAAAAGAAAAAAAAAAGACAACCCTCTTCATGTTCCCCAGGCTTGTTCCTCAGATGCTTATTTCTTAGAAGCAGGAGGTACATAAAACACTGGTTTGTCAATCTAAGCCTCTCTCTTCTCTCCACTCCCCCTACCTCTCATGCATTCTCTTGGTTATGATGCATTTTCAAAAGCAAGATAATTATGATATTATTCGGTTGCCAAAATTATATCTCCACTCTCATCATTTGTAACATTAGGAAAATACAGATGAAGATGCTTCCTAGAGTGCTGTTTTGGGGTTACTAATCAGTTCTTTCTAAGACAGTGTTTCTCACCACATAACTTGGGGGAGGGATGCTTAATATGCTCAGTCATCATTTTAAAGTAGTTACTGAAGGTTGTGACCTTCACACTCTTCTGGGTAGGATAACAAAGTACTAACAAAATAATCCTAGATTTCACACATAAATAAATATACATTCATATGGGTTAGATATACACATAAATATGTATACACATAAATATACATGAATATAACATGAACGCACATACATGTAGAGAAAGACAGACAGTGACAAAATAGAGAGCCAGCTCTGCAGTCAGAAAAGCCAGGGTTCAAATCCCACTTTTGACACACTTTAACTTTAAAGCCCTGGACAAAACATTGAACATCTTAAATGCCTCAAATAATACTTTGAAGCTCTGGGTGGCAAACTAGGTGCTGATCTTCATTGGTAAGGATGTGTTTTCTCATTAGTAAGTCACCACTTTGGTCCAAAAAAGGAGGGAGTGTATGTGTATTTATATGATGTAAATGTAGATATAGATCTATCTCCCAAACTAAAAAACAAAATGAAACCTACCAGAATGAATTGCTTCATTTAGTAAATGAATTTGACTAAGGCAATTATTTTTATAAGGCTAGAGTTTAACTGGAAAACTCCTGTAAAATTTTAGTGCTGCTACATAATCAAGTAATTATGTAATTACTTGCACTTAATTACTTACAAGAGAGATTTTTTAAAAAGAAACTCAAAGTAAATCAAAAGTGGCTCACTTCTCTTTTAGAGTATTTTCTACCCATCTTTAGCTACCACAAAGCATATTCAAAAGCTATTTATTGATGAGAAAGTCATTTTTCCTTTTAATCTTGCTATTCTTATTCTCCTTCATCTACATAACTTCAATTCCCGGAATATCCAGTTTGGGTTTTATGAGGCTACCACATGCTACAAGAAAATAGATACCAGGATAGCCTTGATCCCTACCCTCAAGAAATAGTTTATATAACAAGACAACTCTTTTATTACATTTCAAAAATATGAAAGAATTGTATAGTTATCCTTTTCCATTTTTCCTGATGAAAGAAACATAGGAATGGGTATACACTTATATTTATGCCATTACATAGACATAAGGATAAACTTCTGACCAAAAGAATTGTGAGTGGATAGAAGAAATTCTCAAAAGAAGTTAATTAATCTTTCCTGGGGTCTGTAAGAGTGGCCAGGGAAGGGAGCAAATGAGTAATAAGATGTCTATTATAAATGGAAGATAGGAATGACTAAAACCTAAGTCTGTTATAGCTCTGTCATGTGAGAAGTCATCTATCTTCTCTAGAGATTCATTTTCCTTCCTCTTAAGATTTCATCTTCCTTCGTTAGAAGGTCTAGATTGATGCTGTCTCAAATTCCTTCCAACTCTTAAATCCTAGGATCCCTCTAGAGGTCAAATACTCTAACATCTAAGTTAAAGTAAACAGATAAGTATTGGTCCCATCCCCCTTCTCCCACCTTTAGTGTGTATGGCAGAACATTGGAAAGGCCCACCCTGTTCTCTCCATTCCCACTCCCCACACCATACACAATGCCCCCATCACATCATGCCTAGATTATTGCAACAACTTTCTCACTGGTATAGGAATGACTTTTTTGTTTTGTTTTTCTTAAAGGAGAATGAGGTGCCTTCAGAAGTGAGAGGCTCCTCCTCCTTGGATGTATTCACCTGCCAGGTATGTTAATAGCAGGTATTCCTTTCATGCATGGGTTGGATTAAATGACTGCTGAAGTTCCCTCTGACCCTCAGTTTCTGTAATTCTATGAATATCTTGCTTTATAGTTTCTTCCTCCTCCCACCAACTATGGATATCACTACCAGAATAATCTTCCTAGGCATCCAGAGAGTGCAATAATAGAGCATAGGGCTTGGAGTCAGGAAGAAGAGTTCAAATCCAGACTCAAGGCAATTAGTAGCTGTGTGACCCCAGGGCAATTCACTTCCTCTATTTGCCTCAGTTTCCTCATCTATAAAATGAGGATAATAACAGCACCTACTTCACGGGGTTGTTGTGAGGATCAAATGAGATATTTGTAACGTGCTTTGCACAGTGGCCAGCACATAGTATGTATTATATAAATACTTCTAAATGTACTATTTAAATACTTATTCCCTTCCCTTCTCCTTAAAACACTATTTTTATATATGTCTTCTTACCAAATTCTCCTGTTCTCTGCATATGCCATGTTAATTTCCACCTCAATACTTTTGCACAAGCTATTTCTCCTATGTGCAGTGTCATCTATCCTCTCTTGCACTATTCTAAATCCTACCTATTCTTCAAAATCCAATACGTCCCCCCTCTTCCATGCTCATAAATCAAGATGTGGAAGGCACCACATAGGCCATACAGTCCAATCTCCTATTCTCATAAATAAGGAACCTTTAGGCCAGGGAAATTAGGAACTTGCCCAACTTTACATAAATAATAAGTGTCAGATATGGGATTTGAACCCAAGCCCTCTCTGATTATTCCTGTCAACACTCTTCTCTTTCTTATCTGACCTGCTAGCATAATTATAGTCAGAGCCACACAGTTTACTTAATAATAAAGTTGTAGCTTTGTTCTCCTATTAAGCATTTGAAAATAGGGACCATGTCTTACCTCTTTCTATAGCCCCATATAATCCCAATCATAGCACTGGTTATGTAAATAGGAACGCAGTACACACTTGCTGATTGCTTGGGGGATAGACATTACTGGGCTAAGTGACAGTTGTGGAAGCTACGGTCTTTTGTTTAAGACTTCTTGCTGGACCTGCTTTGCCAATATAATTCAACCTTGAATTTTTGGAGAGAAAAATATGGATAGTTCGTGCTTGGAGTGCTTCCTACCACAGATTTCAACCCTTGACCATTCTAGAGGTAACTGGTTAGTATTTGAATTGGGAAGATTGAAAAGGAGGTTCTAGATTAGGGGGAGAGAAAACACCAATACTATTATTTATTTTGGGTAACTAAGTTCTTTTTTCCTAGTTCTGAATGGATATAAACTACTCCAGGGCACATCTTTCCCCACTCATATGTCACACCTTCTCTCTTATTCCTTTTCCTTTCTTCATTCCCTTTTCTTCCATTTTTCTTTTCCCTTTCAGTCCTGGGCCACAGATGAATTTCTCTACTCCAGGCTACTAAGCAGATGGTGAAGGTTTTAGATGGAAATGTGTGACTAAAAAATAAACCTCTAGTTACCTAGAGATGAAAGGTGACCAGCCCCAATATCAACTCCCTGATTATGACCCAAAGGGTCACATTTACATCTTTAAAGAAAAGAGAAACTTAACTAGAAATGACACTAGTTGAGTAATTTCATGATCACTTTCGGACAGATTGGATTTTACTCTCGCAGTTGTTATTTTGTTGATCAGTGATTCATGACCCATTGGGGGGTTTCTTGGCGAAGATGCTGGAGTGGGTTGTCATTTCCTTCTCCAGCTCATTTATAGATGAGGAAACTGAGACAAACAGGGTTAAGTGACCTGCCCAAGGTCACTCTACTAATAAGTGTCTGATGACAGACTTAAATTTAGGAAGATGAGTCTTCCTGACTCCAGACCCAACATTTTATCCACTGTACCACCTACAGCTTTATTTTTATTCAGGCCCAGGATTTAGCACTTTATATTTTAGTTTTACCTGAACTCCTTCTGAAGTTTTATAACATAATGACCAAGTTTGCTGAATAGCATGTGAAAAGGTGATTATGTTTATTCAACTAGGAGAATAAAAAAAACTCTTGACTTAGCAAAAAATAAAATCAGGTCTGATTTTGCATGACTTAGTGCAGCTGTGCAAATTATGACAAGGCCATAGACACAGGGGCCAAAAGAAATGAGTGCAGCCAAATAAAAATTTAACATTTAAATACTTCAATGGATCTGTGAACTTATTGAAATGGACATATGGACATTACTTCCAATGGTTCAAATCAACCAAGCAAACATTTATTAAATGCCTAGTCTGCACCAGGCACTGTGCTGGGTTACAAATTCAAAGAATGAACCCATCCTTCTCATCTGCTGTGACTATTGCCAATGTCTTCCCATAAATCTTCCATAAGCTCCATCCAACTTGTTCTAAATATTCGGTCACTTTGTGGACCCCAGTGGAGCAGAGGGAGTTGTCCATAGCTCATCTCTTTACTTTCCCTCTGAATTTAATACAAAACAGAAATCTGACCTATGTCCCAGATTTTCTTTTTGCTTTCATGCTTAGTACTGTCAACTATATTTTTTGGAGAATTATCGAACTGGTACTCTTATAACCTATCTACAAAGATCATTTATTAGTATGTGTTAATAAGGAGAATCACCAGACTGTAAACATGAAGAAATTAAGGAAGTGTTTATGGGGCACCTACTATTTCCAGAGCCTTTTGCAAGGCTCTGTAGGGGGATACAGAAGTAGTGTAGAATATAATCCTTTCCATCAAAAGTTTACAATCCAGTTGGGGAAATAAGAGATACATGAAACAATAAATAAGAATAAAAATAATTAACAACTACATTGTTATGTTAAAGCTATAAATTCTTTGTAACTTCAAAAGAAGATATAAAGGAGAACTAAAGTAATCTAGGAAGATAACATAAGTAAAGTAATATTTTATAGCTAGTACTTGAAGGATTTGTATACCGAGAGCTAAGAGGATTACAGATGAGGAAAATAACAAGTAATAACATGGAACCCTCCATTGGCTGCCAAGACATGGCATTCCTTTATGGATCCCCTGTTACCCCTTGGACCCTCCTTCTCTTTGTCTTTTCCTTCTTATCTTCTTCTGCACCATGAATATGGATGACTATCAATGTTCTATCCTAGACCTTCTTTTCTTTATGTACCCTCTCCTTTAGTAATCTCATTCATCATGCCTGTGGCTTCAAATATGACCTTTTTTTGGTAGATTATTCCAAAAGCTACCTCCATTCTCAACTTCTCTTCAGAATCCCAGTTCCATATTTACAAATTGCTTCCAACAATTCAAACACAGTACAGCTAAAGCTTAACTCTTTACTTTCCCCCAGATGAAATGGTTACCCCATAACTTCTCTATTTTATTTGATAGCACCACAATCCTTCCAGTCATTCAGTTTCATGATTTTCAGAGTCATCCTTAGCTCTTCCACCTCTCTCTCTTGTTATATGCAATTAGTTGCCAAACCTTATTAATTCTTCTTTCATAGCATCTTTCATATCCATTTCTTTTCTTCTATCTTCACTAAAACTACCCTACTTCAGATGCATATCTCTTCTTGACTAGCTTCCTAATCACTCTTCTTGGTTCTGGTCTCCTATTGTCACTCTATCCTTTACATTGGTGCCATATGTAATCACTCTAATGTGTTATTCTGATCAGTTACTCTTGTACAAAAAAAAAGAGAGACAAAAACAAAAACACCCTAAGTTGATTTTCATTGCTAGTGAATGAAGAATAAACTCATCTTGGCATTCAAAGATCTCCAAAATTAGAATCTACTCCCCCTATACCATCTCCCCCCCAAAAAAATATTGCAGAATCACATAATTTAGGTATCTGAGGGGACTACCTAGTCCAACCCAAAAAGCATCTACACTATACCCATCAAGTGGTCTTCCAGCCTTTCCTTGAATATCTCCAATGAAGAAAACTCTACTTCCTCCTGAAGCTATTTCACTTTTGAAACACTCTTGTTTATTAGAGAGGTTTCCCATAGAACAAGCCTAAATATGCCTCTCTGAAATTACCACCTCTTGCTCCTAGTTCTAACTTCTGGGAACAAGTAGAACAAGTCTAACCTTTCTTTTAATCAATCAATAATCATCCATTAAGGGCTAATTATGTACCAAGCACTTTCCAGGCACTGGAGATGCAAATACAAAGAAGGAAAAAACTCTTAATCTTAAGGCGCTGATATTCTAACAGAAGAGAAAACCAGAATATGTGTGCTTGTGCATATATGTATTTATACACACAAAGAATAAACATAAAGAGAATAAATCCAAAGTGGTTAAATTCAAAATAGTTTGAGAAGGGAACTAGCAGTTGAAGAAAATCAGGAAAGGCTTCATGTAGAAGGTGGTGCACCAGCTAGCTAGATCTTTTTTTTGGGGGGGGGCAATGGATTTAAGTGACTTACTCAGGGTCACACAGCTAGTAAGTGTTGTCTGAGGCCACATTTGAACTCAGGTCCTCCTGAATCCAGGGCCAGTGCTCTATCCACTGCAGCTAGCTCGATCTTAAAGGAAGAGAATTATACAATGAGACAGAGGCAAAGAAAAGTGCATTCCAGGCATAAGGGGGATAGCTAGTACAAAGACAAAAGATAGAATGTCTTGTCCGAAAAACAGAAAAAAGGCCAATTTGGCTAGATCAGAGTGTGGGAAGGGGAATGATATACAACAAGGCTGGAAAGTTAAGTTGGAACCAGGTTGTGAATAGCTCTAAAATACTTGAAGAGATACTTGAAGGGAGACTATGTGTCTGTCCCAAGTCCTTTCTTCTTGAGGCTAAACATTTTCACTTCCTTCCACTTATCCTCATATGGCATAAACTTCAGGCCCTTCAACCACCTTGATTACACTTCTCTGGGCTCTTTCCAACCTTTTCATGTCCTTCCAAATATGTGACATCCAGATCTAAAGAATATTATAAAAGGGATATGAATACAGTGGACCACAGCAGGACTATCACCATAGTTA